AATATAATTGAATTCTAATCCCATTTGGAGTAGCATTTGCAGACTTGAGAAAGGCATCAGACAGCGGGTGTCTATTAAGAGAAGTACATCTCTGTTTTCTTTGGAGATTTACAGTCTAATAGAAAGATGAGAAGGTTCAAGTTTGAGCAATGCTGCTTGCTTTTTCCCGGCAAACATATCAAAATTAAGTGAGAATCCTATCTGCAGAGACATCTAAGAGCAAGAGGGAAGGCTCTAAAAAGTAAACAGCTGATGTTTCCCAGATGCGGTCGTCACTTTAACTTAGTGGCTAATTTTACTTGTCACAAGGTACCCAGAAGGAAAGACTATTTTTATGTATTCTACTTAACTATAGCAGTTATTTTCCAAGATCCTTTAAAACACTCACAATTATTTTTTTTTCCAAAGACTCTCGCAAAGGGCACACATTTCCTAGGCAGCTTTTCCACATCTTTCCCCTTGTCCACCATTTCAATCCAAAAATGCTCCCCGGGCACATAGATCTAGGATGTAAAGACTACAGGACTAGGAATAGGGTTCTACAGTTTCACAAAGACCAAAATAGGTACAGAATACGTAAATTAAGGAGACAGAGGTCAGTCAACAAAAGTAGTGTCCATTCTGCTTCTCTAATTTTCTCAGCATTTGTCATTTGAACACATTAAATTCCTTTCCAAGTTGTTTGCAAAGTGTATTTCTACCATTTTTCACTATTTCTCTGTAAAATACAAATGAAATTAAAATAATGGGTTCAAAGCAGTATAATAAAATAAAACCTTAGTAATAATAACAATGTTTATTAGACTATATCTGCTGCTGCTGCTGCTGCTGCTAAGTCACTTCAGTCGTGTCCGACTCTGTGCGACCCCATAGTCGGCAGCCACCAGGCTCCCCCGTCCCTGGGATTCTCCAGGCAAGAACACTGGAGTGGGTTACCATTACCTTCTCCAATGCATGAAAGTGAAAAGCAAAAGTGAAGTCGTTCAGTCGTGCCTGACTCTCAGCGACCCCATGGACTGCAGCTTTAATGCCATGCAAATGTTCTGTTCCCCTGTTCCCCTCCAATACTGTGGCCATGATTCTGTATTCAGGGTTCCCACTAATATACAAGATGTTTTCAGACAGCTGAGAGCAGCTACTAATAGACTAACACAATCCAGCCAGTTTCAGAGTGTTGGTCTCCTAAGGGAAATTAAAAACTAACTTTTTTCATCTTCTACAAAACCATAAAGTAAAAATATTTGTTCGTTTTTTTCTAAGCTGGTTTGTACTGTGGTCACAAATATAACACTATTTTAGGATTCCACCCACATTTTTATTTATAATTTTTGTTTTTTTTAGAGAGTCTCAGACTATGACATTCACACTGGACTGACACATGTTTAAAATAACATGTGCACCATATTATATCATTGAAATTTGCTAAGATAAAAGAACTTAAAAGTTCCCACTAAACAAACAAATAAATAAATGAGATGTGCATGCTTAGTTGCTTAGTTGTGATGGACTCTTTGCAATCCTTAGCACTATGGTCCACCAGCCTCCTCTATCCATGGGATTCTCCAGGCAAGGATACTGGAGTGGGTTGCCATTTCCTTCTCCAGGGGATCTTCATGACCCAGAGATCGAACCTGCATCTCTTGGGTCTCCTACATTGAGGCAGATTCTCTACCTGCTGACCCACTGGGGAAGCCTGGAGTGAGGTGAGGAATGTATTAATCAATTGGATTCTTTCACAATGTATAATATATGTATATGAAAACACCACGATGTGCACTTCAAATATCTTACAATTTTATCTGTCAATTGCACCTCAATAAAGCTGAAAAATAAATACATTAATAAACATAACTATGCATTACCATAAAACACTAAAAATTAAATAGGATATAATAACGTGCGATACAAGGCTGTTGACTTGAAAATGGAAGACTTGTCACCTAATACCTATATATTCCACAGTTACTATAAGACCTCTGGTTAATTATATTACACATAATTTAATTATAATTAAATAAAATTGCTAATTATATTTACAAAAAGGTACAATAGGCTGGGCTTCCCAGGTTGCACTAGTGGTAAAGAATCTGCCTGCCAAAACAGGAGACGCAAGAGATGCAGGTTTGATCCCTGGGTGAAGAAGATCCCCTGCAAGAGGGCATAGCAACCCTCTCCAGTATTCTTGCCTGGAGAATCCCATGGACAGAGGATCCTGGCAGGCTACAGTCTATTGGGTCTCAAAGAGCTGGACACAACTGAAGTGACAGCACACACGCACAATAGCCTAAGATTAACATAGCACAAGTATAATTTTATTTTTAAATTGGGGTACAGTGCTTTACAATGTTGTGTTAGTTTATGCTATACAATGAAGTGGACCAGCTATATGCATACACACACACACACATCTCCCCCACCTTGGACCTCCCTCCTACCCCCTCCCCACCCCACCCCACCCCACTCATCTAGGTCAGCAGAGAGCACAGAGCTGAGCTCCCTGCTCTATCTAGCAGCTTCCCACGAGCTATCTGCTTTGCACATGGCACTGCACATATGTCAATTCCAATCTCCCAATTCATCCCACACCACCCTGTGTCCACACACCCATTCCCTATGTTCGCATCTCTTTTCTTGCCTTGCGAATAGGTTCATCTCTACCATTTTTCTATATTCCACATATATGCATTAATATACGATATTTGTTTTGCTCTTTCTGACTCACTTCACTCTGCATGATATCCGTATGTCTCACTTTCTGCTACATTAAAGCTCTTTCCACTTCTACTTAAGCAAACTATATCAGTGATGTTAATGAAAGGTAGAAAAATGGTTATTTTAGGACAAAAGCTTGTTATCCAACATAGACCTACAAATGTCTGAGATTCTTCTCTCTGCATTTTGCTAATCAGAATACAAAAAGATCTCCATCCTTTCCCATCCAGCACAGAGATGTGAATGTACTGTTTTTGACCAAGAGCAAATCTTTTCTTGTAGAAACATCCCTGTCTTCAAAGATATTATACATTCCCCAGAAAGAAGGGTTTTGCCAAGTTAAACTGTAATTAAGAAATAATAAAAACAGATGCCTTCTCTGAAATTTTTATAAAGCTACACAACATATTTTCTTTTCAGATAATATTTAAGTAAGAAGTTTGAGTCAAAAAAGAAGAGTAAACAACTCGAAAGTATAAAACCCTCCTAAAATTAAATTAGGCTACTTAGTCTATTCTGGGAAGTTTACTAGCACATTCCTACTATAATGATTATGAGCATGTTTTTCTTAACACTTCAAACTTATTTTTTTAAGAAAAATTTAGATTTTTTAGAAGCTGGTCAAAATGATGTATGACAGAGAATTACTACATTACTTTTACCACTATTACTACAATTTATTTAACACTAGAGTTAGAACAATAATGTGTGTGTGTGTGCTAGTCATGTCTGACTCTTTGTGACTCCATGGACCATAGCCTGCCAGGCTCCTCTGTCCATGGGATTCTCCAGGCAAGAACAGTGGAGTGGGTTGCCATTCCTCCTCCAGGGGATCTTCCCAACCCAGGGATCAAACCCACGTCTCCCAAGTCTCCTCCACTGGCAGGTGGATTCCTCACCACTGAGCCACTGGGGCAGCCCATGAACAGTAACAGTAATGAGAAAATATAATAGGAAAAGAGAAATGAAATGATATAAGATCTAAGAGATAAAACAATAAAGCAAACAGCAACAGAAATAACATACATAGAAAAAGGAGACACGTCTTAAAATCATGAATTTTAAAATATGGATAAATTGCTAAAAAGGTTAAAAACACTGATGTTAGAACTGAAAATTAGAGGAGATAAATATCTTACAGAAAAGAAGGTTTTAAGTAGCTCAGCACATCTTTCAAAGTTTGAGGTGTTTCTAAAACTAAAATATGAGAGTGACATTACCAAGATGGTAACTAGCTTGTTCCTGGCTTCGCTCCCTGCTCACAAGAAGAAAAACTAGCAACTATTCAAGGACAAGACACCACTGAGAGAATCCTAGGACATGGGAGTGGAGCTGAAGCACCCTGGGACCCCAGACACCAAGGCAGACTGCATTAGAAGGACAGATGTTAGCTGAACTGACTGTGGTGATCACGTCATTGCATGATCTATGTAAATCAAACCATCCTGCTGTTATCCCTTGAACATACCAAGTGATGTATGTCAGTTATTTCTCAAGAAAACTGGGAGGAAAAACTAAGATATGGAAAGGCCTAGTAAAAAGAGCAAAGATAATTTAAACTTGAATTCTTGTACCACTAAAAAAATAAATGAGGCAGATAAGTGGTTTCTGAAATTAGAGCGGTACTATAACACTCTGAACAGACAGTAATTTAAATTTCTTTTATAGAATGAAAAATAAATATTCAACTGTACCCTTTTGCTGACCTTCACTGTCATGGAATGATCTCTTTTTTTAATTTTTTTGGCTCTGTCACTGTTACGGATGAAACTGTGTTTTCCAAAAATACATCCTGAAGTCCCGACCCTGGCACTTTGAAACATGAGTTTATTTGGAAATAAGGCTCTTGGCAGATACAGTTAGTTATGATGAATTCATACTGGAGTAGAGTGGGCTTTTAATCCGATGTGACTGGTATCTTTATAAGAAGAGGGAAATTCAGTCACAGCAACTGGGACACAGGGAGAACATGATATGATGACCAAAGCAGAGATGAAGTGATGCAGCTACCACCAGAGGACCAGCAGGGACTGATGCTCTCCGCCTCCAGGAGCTGGGAGAAGCAAGGGAGGATTCTACCAGTCTCAGAGGGACCCTGCCCCTACTGGCACTCTGATTTTGAACTTCTATAACAGAATGAATTTCTTTTGTTTAAAGGCACCCAGTTTGTGGTACTTTCTTATGACAGCCCTGGGAAATGAAGAGTCACTGTGTTGTCTGCAAACCCAAGAGAAAAAGTTTAACTAAAGGAGAAGGGTTAGGAGAGCAGTGTATCTCCAAAAACTTACCTGCGACGTAGTCACCAAAGCCAATGGTGGTTAAGGTGATAACCACAAAATAAATGGCGTCCAGGGCACTCCAGCCTTCTATGTGCTTGAATATGATTGCAGGCAGAGCAACGAAGAGTACACAGCCGAACAGAATAAAGATGATTGTTGAGATGATTCGTATCTTGGTTTGACTAACATTCCACTTCTAGGGATGAGAGAGGGAGAGAGAGGGGGCGGGGGGAGAGAGATGCTAAGAGAGAGAAATTGATTGAGATCGATAATTGATGTACCTGAAAGTTAACCTATATATACTGTTTAAATTATTTTTTATTGGAGTATAGTTGCTTTACAACGTTATGTTCATTTCTACTGTAGAACAAAGTGAATCAGCTATACACACACACACACACACACACACACACACACACGTCACTTCTTTTTTAGATTTCCTTCCCATTTAGGTCACCATAGAGCTCTGAGGAGAGCTCCCAGAGCGATACAGTAGGTTCTCATTAGTTATCTATTTTATGCATATAACCTATACACACTGTTATCAGCAAATTATCAAATAAGAATGGCATTTTATTCTTTTATAATTAATTTTCAATTGTCTTTACTTAAATATATTAGCTATAATATGAATAACGGAAAACAACCAATGCTAATAATGATGCTACTTTACTTTTATATAGCTTTGCAACAGGTAAAATACTTCCTAAAGTACATAACATTTGCTCAGAGAACAAAATTTCAGATTTACATCATTCTTTGTTTACCTGAACTACTTTTGAAATGTTTCTATTCTACAAGCAAACAACTGATTTCGGGCCAAAGACAACCTAGAAATATATGAAAACTGAGAAAACTGAAGCATAAATATCCACTGTTGATAATTGATAAAATCATTAACTTCATGGAAACTTTTCCCCTCTCCTACCACATTTTCCTATCATTGTTCAATTGATTAAAGCAAAATACTAGCAGACTTAAAGTCCACAGTTGATTCCCATGTGAACTAGACAAGCCATTTCACTATTCTACGACCTTAAGCTATACAACTAAATATACAAGACATGATATGTAGACAACGACAAGTCTTCAACACCTCTAAGCTAGAGCTGCCCTCAGAGAACCCACACTGTTTCACCTCTGAATTTAATATGAAACATGTGTGCATGCATGCATGCATGCTAGGTCGCTTTAGTCATGTCTGACTCTTTGCAACCCTATGGACTATAGCCCGCCAGGCTGCTCTGTCCCTGGCATTCTCCAGGCAAGAATACTGGAGTGGGTTACTTGCCCTCCTGCAGGGGATCTTCCCAAACCAGGGATCGAACCCATATCCCCTGCGGTTCCTACATTGCAGGCATTATCTTTAAACTGCTGAGCCACCAGGGAAGTCCCCATATGAAATATATCTAATGTTAAAATGGGAATTATACTTTCAATTGAAAATCTAACACTCAGTGGTCTTATTTCATCAATAGTTACATACTTGAACTTTTTGTGAAAAGATAAAACATTATCAAATAAAAAATAAAACATAATATTAGTGACAGAAGTAACAAATCATCTATAATCTCACTCTCTAACAGAATTATTTTCTTCATTCATGACTTTCAAGAATAAAAGCTTGTCACCATGGTATTATTACTATTTTTTACTTAAAATTCTAAGAGCATTTTCATTTATTTTTTCTACTGAATAGCATATGCCCATGAACATCTTCATTATATTATTTTTGGTCCTACTAAATTACATACCTTAGTTAAATTTCTATCAGCAACATTATTAAAATAAGTTATAAGATCCCCTTTATAATGTTTGCTGTGCATTATTTAATCCTTCAGCAAAGGGCTAAGGTTTACTAGCTATGTTAAGATTTCACTTAGAATATCTCTAAATCTCAGAGGAATGCCTCATCATCAGTACTATTATTCATATAAATGGCAAAATGGAGATTTAAGGGTAAAATAACTAGCTTAAGTGAATATAGCTAGGATACAATACATCTGGAATTTAAGCCCAGGACTGTCAGATTTCTACTTCTGTATATTTTGCTTTTTCTCATTCATTAATATATTCATTCAGAGAAGTATAAAAACAACTATACAGTGAATTATTTGCAAAAAGAAATTCATGTAAATTGTTATAGAAAACCCAATAACTTACATCTAACTATATGTGAGGTGAACAGAAAAGTTATAATATTTTTGAAAAATGAGACAATTAACATATGCAGTTAAAAGGCTATCATACTCACAATAAATGTATCTTCCACTTTTGCAATTCCTTTTCCAAATATGGTCCCTAGTTGATCTCCAACTCCAGCCAACAGAAAGCCAAAGAGGGGAATTCCCAGTAAGGCATAGATGATACAGAATATTTTCCCCCCTTCTGTGCGTGGTGAGATGTTTCCAAATCCTAAAAATACAATGAAGAATAAGAATTCAGTTGTTTAGAAATGAGTAATAGTTTAAAACATATGACCTCAAACTTGATTCAGAAATTTCCAAATATTATAAGATATCAATCTTAGATTTCAACTAATTAAGAATCCCTTTATACCACATAAGCTTTTAATGTAAAATCTTCTTAAAAACAAGCACTCTAACAATCTCCAAAGTATAGTTAATGTTCCAATTAAACTAGATGATGAAAACTGAGGGAGTAACACACACAATAAAGTCAATGTTTTCATTCAATTTACTTCTACCTCCCTATGCTGCTAATGCAGTTGACTACAAAGCTATTGTTGCCATTTATTAAGTGTGTGTTGCCTTAAGAGTATTCAAATATGCTTAAATTATTAAACATTTAATAAACAACTTAAAAATTTTTTTTCATTCAAGTACCTACCAAAAAGCAGTAAATGAAAGCTTAAAATTATCAAACCCGTGAATTACAAATTGGCATTTGCCATCTACATTTACAAGGATTAAATCATGTGCAGCTGTTACTGCTGATTTTCAAAATCCCCTGCAAGAAGTTCAGAGTAGAGAGCAGAAATGAAGTGCTCTGTGCTCTGAGGAAATCTGGCAGAACAGGTCTGCATACAGTTAGACATTTCCAGGAGCCAATTTTATGAACCAAATTTTTGTATTTTTTTATGTCTAGAAAAGCACTAAAATCCTTAAATCTTCCATGGTGATGACTACTCCTTGTGACTAGCAGAAACTTTCTGCAAAAAAATAAATAATGTTCTTAATTCCATATACTCCCCTTTCACCAAAATCACATATATACTGACCTTCCCCCTTACCTCTTTGGAGCAGCTTCTCAGAGCTATCTGAAAGGCTCCGTGGCTATCATCCTCATTTTGCCCCCAGATAAAACTTAACTTGCAACTCTTATGTTGTGTGTTTTTTTTAGTCAACATTTTTTTTTTTTAGCCTCCAGTTCAAGAGCTGCCTTACTACTTCTCAGACCCACTGACTGTTTGGGGAATATGATGTAAGCTGTCTACGCATTTAACTCATTTACCTTCCTATGCATTTACCTTGCATCTGCTCTTGTCTACTAATGCTTTGGAATGCTGAGCATCAAGGCAATATATACAAATGTCCATCCAGGGTGTGTGTGAAAAAGGCCCAGAAGTCTTGTATCAAGGTAATTTGAAGAAGGAAAAGGCTATCGCAAAAGTTAGGTAGAATGTTTAACCTGGACTGTTTGGAAGAGTGTAGCATTTCTTTACACCATCCAAGATGGAACTCAACCATGATATTGTCTTCTATCATCAATAAGCAGAATACCAATAACAAAAGAGGCCTGCTAAATCAGGAGGGTGGATTGTTTTGACCTGGATTCTCTGATTATTCCAGAGAGTCCTGCTAAGATCTAACACTTCTTTTTATTGTCTCTCCAGATGAACAACCATGTGACCTGAAGTAGGGCAAGCATCTGAGTTATCCCATATCATCCCATTTTCTCTTTCTGCAGAAGAGGATAAATATCTTCAGAATTACATCCATGAGAAGTAACCTACCACTAGAAAGGATCAAGGATCAAAAAGAAAAGATACAACTAAAACAAATACTGACTGGGGCATCGCTAAAAATAGGCTCTACTGTTTGAAAAATAAAAAGCCTAAGCATCAGAGGGCTCAATTTGATCTGCCCCACATGGGTTAAAAGGACATTAGAAACAAGACTCCCAACTTTTCATCCATCGCTGACAGATTCGGCCAGAAGTAACCAGAACATCTTCAGAAAAGGGGACAAAGGATTTCCTCAGAAATCCTGTTTATGTCATGAATGAGATGGCCCCCAATCCAAAGAATTCTAGATGTAAAGACAGTCGATCTACCTTTCATTGATCAAAAGACAGAGACCAGTTCCTTGTGGCATCTCTATACTTCATGTTTATTATCTCCAAAGTTAGCAGACGGGAGAATGAAAGGAGTAGGGTTGATGGAGTCTGACATGACTCTTCTGGGAGTCTCTTCCTGCTTCATCTTCCAAACATGAACCTTCTCTCGATAACATTATGCTGAGCTCTCCTGCTTACCCATGCCTCGGAGGCGGAAGCCCTCACAGTCACCCAGTGCGCGCGCACACACACACACACACACACACACACACAGCCACCGAGCAGTTTTCTGACATAAAGGACGTGCCAACAATGCCCCAGACATCTGCCCGAGTGAGAGGATCACATGGCTGTTCAGGGGATGTTCCTCGTGTTTTCTTCCCTCTTTCCCAGAAAAGAAGAGTAGTCTTCACTCCAGGCATTTACCACATCTTAAGCAATGAATAGATCCTAGTAAAATGACTTGATACTATTAATGGACTTATGAAAAGTATCTATTGACTCTAAGCAATACAGCGTGCCAAGCTTGTAAAAAGATTAATTTTAGTGGTTGTCTGGCCTTCCTGACTCTTTCCCTTGGTTAGTCAGCAGCATCTTCCTTGCCTCAGGGTGAAACAGACTGTTTTGGCAAGAAGAAAATGGAAAAGAAACAATATTAAGTTTTGTTGTAACTCCTAAATTAACGTGTTCACACTCAAAATGCTTCGCCTGAGGAGAGCAGCTGTCAGTTTATAGCATCACATATGCTTGGCAAGAAAGTTAAAGGACTGGCAGTTGATCCAGCTTAAGGGAACAGACTAGACTGAAGATTGAAGGGGCCTGACTGTGGAGGAGGTTGGGTGGGGCAGAAACCAGAGGACAGGACCTGGGGGAAGGAGAGGGTCCCACGGTATCTTGACCCTGTCTTGAGAGATCAATGGTTAATTTCTCAGGAATTCTATAAGTCAGTTGACTTCACATTGATAGTCTGAAATCAACTACAGTAGACATATTTACACCTTAGAAATTGCCAAGCACTACAATTCAGGACTTCTCCCTTTTCAGCTACTTAATATTGACCAATACAGTACAGAATAAGAGTCAAATTTAGGAGACTGTACATAATCTGTGCTAGAGATCTGAATGGAAGCCAAACCAATGGCTCTAGGCCAACCGCTGACATTTATAGAAATATATCATCAGAACAGCTACCATCTTGCCTTCACATCACTTTCAGGGAAGGGCCTTCTGCAGAAAGCTGCTGTAGGCCCATTGTTAGTGGAATACCTACAGGAGGCCCATATATGCCACCCCCATCTGAATAGCTCCAAGTGAACATGTCACTTTTATGACAGAATTTATTAATACTACAAATAAATAAGACCCTTTTCAAACACTTTGCACACTTGCAATTATATATTTGTAACAATTGATTTAATATCTATTATATACATATTCCACACTTGACTATGAATTCCATGAGTGTAGAGATTGATTTATTATAGATATATATTTATTATTCCATGAGTTTATCATTTATGAGTTCCATGAGTACAGAGATTTATTTATTATTTACATGTGTTAATAATAAATAATCATGCAAAAAACTAGACTGCATGAAGCACAAGCTGGAATCAAGATTGCAGGGTGAAATATCAATAACCTCAGATACGCAGATGACACCACCCTTATGGGAGAAAGCAAAGAGGAACTAAACAGTCTCTTGATGAAAGTGAAAGAGGAGAGTGAAAAAGCTGGCTTAAAACTCAACATTCAAAAAATGAAGATCATGGCATCCAGTCCCATCACTTCATGGCAAATAGATGGAGAAACAATGGAAACCGTGACAGACTTTATTTTGGGGGGCTCCAAAACCACTGCAGATAGTGACTACAGCCATGAAATTAAAAGACACTTGCTCCTTGGAAGAAAAGCTATGATCAACCTAGACCACTTAAACAGCAGAGACAATACTTTGCCGACACAGGTCTATACAGTCAAAGCTATGGTTTTTCCTGTGATCATGTATGGATATGAGAGTTGGACTATAAAGAAAGCTGAGCTCCAAAGAATTGATGCTTTTGAACTGTGGTATTGGAGAAGAAGACTCTTGAGAGTTCCTTGGACTGCAAGGAGATCCAACCAGTCTATCCTAAAGGAGATCAGACCTGAATATTCATTGGAAGGACTGATGCTGAAGCTGAAGCTCCAATACTTTGGCCACCTGATGGGAGGAACTGGTTCAGTGGAAAAGACCCTGATGCAATAAATATTTTGCAACAGTTTTCAGTACAAATTGATGGAATTTTATAAAAGTAATAAAAGAAAGTAAAGAACCAATAATAGCTAAGAATATTTGGGGGAAAATGAGGTAGGAAGATTTGCTCTACATGATATATGTGCTGTGCTGTGCTTAGTCACTCAGTCGTATCTAATTCTTTGCAGTCCCATGGACTATAGCCCGCCAGGCTTCTCTGTCCATGGGGATTCTCCAGGCAAGAATACTGCAGTGGGTTGCCATCCCCTCCTCCAAGGGATCTTCCCAACCCAGGCATGCAACCCAGGGCTCCCGCATTGCAGGCAGATTCTTTACCATCTGAGCTACCAGGGAAGGCCCTACATGATATCTACTATACAGCTATTAAAAAAGCAATCTGATTAAAAATCTGTATAATTTCTTATAATTCTTTAAAAGTGATAAACAGAAAATAATTCTTATCGTGACAAAGGGTATCTATCTCAAAACATTCAACATCATACTTAATATTAAAGGACAATAAAAGGAATCCCCTTACAGTCAGGGGGGAAAATATCCATTTGACAATTTACTTTTTTATATTATTCTGAAAGTTCTAGCAGACACAATGGCAGTAAACATATAAAAGGAATGATTATTATAAAGAAGACAAATATATTAGTTGTAGGTGGAATTAAATATCTAGCAAATACAGGAGAATATTAAAAATTATCAAATAGGAAAAAAGCTCAGGAAAACAGCTGAATATGTGATAAATATGCAGAAACCAACAGCATTATACTACTTTAGCACAATCTCAAATTTGCTAATTGAAATGGAAAAATACCTTACTTTTAATATAAGGGAATCATGAAATACCTAAAAGTAATCTCATCAAGAC